TTGAAGATATTGGAACATTTATTTCCTTTCATAATTCCCTATGATATTTGAGTTACTAGTTTGAACAAGCCCTTATTCAGCTAATTGGCCTACACCTCTCTTCTAACAGATTTGACTTTTAATACTACTTTTGGTTTCTTTAACAATGAATCATTTCTTATAAATGCAGAACTTTAGTTAGCCTATCACTCCCTAATCATCTGCTCTAAACTTCACCTTTGGAAAATTACTGTTGTTTTCATCCAACTCTTTGATTTGGCAGTTGAGTTTTACTTCAACCAAATAAAAGACAAGGCCGCTAGATACTTTGATTTGTCGTGTTTTATCTTCTCGAAAACAGACCTGATTTTTCATTTTGGAGTTCAATTAGCAATTCCCTTCAAAATCATATTATTTATTCCTTAACACAGAATAGTTTCTGGTTTATAATAATACTGTACCTGAACATCCTCAGAAACTTCTTAATCACACTCACCATTGAGCTCATTCAATAGCATGGGTACTTATTATTCCTTCACTCTTTCTCCTTCCAAACCATTGCTACTTTCTCCGAAGCAACCATTTAGCAAGTTCATCTGCAGATCCTCTGCCACTTGCAATTTTTCAACATCTTTTGACCAATCATCACATAACTATGGACTTAAACTGTCTCCAGCTTCAACTTCGGCTTATAGCAGAAGAAGTGTTCAAAAGTTGGCCGGAAAGAGATTATTGGACTTCAAAGTCAGTTGTGCAGCTTATCCAGAAAGTAATAATGAGGCAACTATGACCGGTGAAAAGATGAGGGGTTTGCAGCTTGGGACCATGTTTGCTATTTGGTATCTATTGAACATATATTTCAACATATTCAACAAACAGGTGTTTTTCCCTTCCTAAATTTAAATTCTAGTAAATGCTGAAAATTGGGGTTTTGGGTTTCTTACTTTTTGTCGATGTAGTTTCTGGTATAATACAGACTAAAATTTTAATATACTCATGCATATGGTTTATTGCTGTAAAGATATTTTTGAACGTTCATTACAGGTTCTCAAGGTTTATCCATTTCCGACTACCCTGACAGCATTTCAGTTTGGTTGTGGGACAGTTTTGATATTTCTTATGTGGGCACTGAATTTGCATCCAAAACCCAAAGTTAGTAGGTCTCAGGTAATTGCTTATATTCACCAAGGGAAATGTGACTTCTTTTTTCTTTTTTTCTCTTTTTCCTCTTTTCCATGATTAAGGAAGTTGACTCTTAAAATTGTTGTTTAGTTTAGAGCAATCTTTCTACTCTCACTCGGACACACAATAGGAAACCTTCTAACAAACATCAGTCTGGGAAAAGTTGCTGTTTCTTTCACTCACACGATTAAGGCAATGGAGCCTTTCTTCACGGTCTTGCTTTCTTCCCTGTTTTTCGGAGAGGTAATTAATCATGCATTGCTGTTTTGAACTCTTTGCTTTATTAAATTTGATTTGATCTACGGGATAATTATGAGAACTGTCCTGGATAGTTAGCTAATTACAAAAAACATCACACATTTTCTTTGGAAACTATGAATATCCCTTGATATTTGTTTCCTTCGTGTGCACTTTCTAACGGGGGTATATATCAAGTACGCAAATACCATGAATGAGTGTGTTGAATACTCTCAAGGCATATGAATAAGACGCATGATTTCTAATTCTCTAGTTTTGCTTCCTGATTGTAAGTTTCCATTGGCTCTCAATTCTTCCAACATCTGCATGCTAATGTATGAACCTCTACAAAAATATGGGTAAAATTTTAGGTTTGTCTAACTAGGAAAACTGAACAAACAACAAAAAGAAAAAAGAAAAAGAAAAAGAAAATTATTCTATCTTTCAAATGCAAATACCCTTGTTATTTATTCGTGCATGTGAATTGCACTCTCAAAGAGACGATTTTTGTTAAGCAAACACAAACTAAAGGATATGTAAGTACCTTGCTGTTTGTACTGTTAAGATTCATTTCATCACTAATTCATGACAAAAAACGGAAAGTTTCTAACGACAATAATAACTAGAAGAACCATTTCATCATCTCAACTGTATCTATCCTAGGAAGTAGTAGAAAATAGTAATGTTGATTGAAGGTAGATTTGGCAGTTGTTTTGATGATTGATCATTATATGACGGGTCATTTTTACTCTTATTTTCATTTTCCATGTCTGACAATGCAGAGGCCATCTCTATGGGTTCTTTCTTCTCTTGTGCCTGTTGTTGGAGGCGTTGCATTGGCGTCTTTCAGTGAAGCTTCTTTCAATTGGTATTGAGAAAAAAAAAATGGAAGTTAGTTAAAATTTGAATAAATGTCATGAGATTTTTCTTCAGCAAATATGATTGATGGTAAGTTTCTTTTAACAGGATAGGTTTTGGTAGCGCAATGGCTTCAAATCTTACCAACCAAACGCGAAATGTTTTCAGTAAAAAGCTGATGGTTAAAAATGAGGTACATGATCAAATTATACATAATTAATATCCAACTCGGCATACATTTCACATCATATCGAATTACCAAAAAATCTCATGATCTTTAAAAGTCACAGATACCCCCATTTAGCTCCAGCATTGCACTCTGTAGGGATATTTGGAAAGTCGTGATTAATAATCTAAAGGGAGTATTTATAATTCTGGAGTATGATTGGGAATTTCTTGAAACTAGCCAAACCTTCAGGGTGCTTATTTAGATTATAATCTTTACACTATATTCATGCGCAAACTGTGTATTTTTTTCTTGATCTCTAATCCACAGGAAAATCTGGACAACATCAATCTATTCTCAATTATAACAGTCATATCGTTTTTACTTCTAACACCTGCAGCAATTTTGCTGGAAGGTGTCAAGTTTAGTCCTTCTTACTGGCAGTATGCTGTAAGTACTAAATGGAGACGCTTAATTTTAATCCTCCAACACTCTTTAGGGAATATATGTGAAGATTTTATTCATCTATGTTGTCATGCAGACAAGCCAAGGTTTGAATGTCAAAGATATGTGTATTAGAGCTCTTTTGTCTGGTGTCTGCTTCCATTCCTACCAACAGGTGACGTCCCATTGGAAACTCTACCGCTATCATTTGTGCGTGTAGTCAACTCTCATAAAAGGTTTTTTGTTTCAGATAAAAAGAAAAGAACCTTGAGATACAAACTTCCTCCTTTCATAAGCAAAAACTACTCAAAAAACAAAATTGAAAAAATATGTCCATCTATTTGGAGGACATGACAAAATTACCCAACAACTTTGATATTGCTGAACTAACTAATTAAATCGCGGACATTTGGCCCAATCCTATGAGTTATTGAGCTATTTTCTCTATTAGTTAGTGTGTAATTTTTGCATTTTCTGGCATATTGTGCTCGGTTTTTGTTAGTTAGTGAGCATTTTGTTACAACTACAAAAGTTAGACAAATTTTTCATGCAGCTCAAGTTATTAGGCATATTTTATAGTTCTGCTTTAATAACCTCACATCTGCTGATTAGTGATTACGGCCTCAAGCTCCATTAACATACTTTATCAAATGGCAGGTTTCTTATATGATATTACAAATGGTATCGCCAGTGACTCATGCAGTTGGTAACAGTGTGAAGAGAGTAGTTGTCATTGTGTCCTCGGTTATCTTCTTCCAAACGCCTGTCTCACCCATTAATTCCTTGGGTAAATTTTTTTCCATTTTAATCATATACTCTGATTTCTTTTTTATTTTTTATTTTTTGTTTATTTTTCCTTTCTATTACGTGCATTTAACGGCATATCTATGTCAGGAACTGCTTTGGCTCTTGCTGGAGTTTTCTTGTACTCGAGAGCAAAGAGGATTAAACCTAAAGCTGCTTGAGAGTATTAGGAGCTCCCTATGAGGATGAACAACTTTGAGGGTTGTCAAAGTCATCTAGTGATTAGGAATATTTCATGTTTGCTAGTGATGTACAATATAGGGGATTTGGTTATATTTCAGCCTTTATGATCGCTTATAAATGATAATGGAGCTTTTAAATTTCTTTAAAATTGTTTTCATGGAGCTCAAAAACGAAGCCTTTGGGAGTAACTTGTAGTTGAGAAAAGGTAAACAAAAATACACAACGAGATAAGTTTAATAATTACTTATAACTAATATTCGATGATATTATATTTTAAACATAGAGTATTATAAGTTATATTTATGCATATAATAATAAAAATATCAATTAGATAATGATATTATGTTTTAAAATTTGATCATTGGTTAAAATAAATAGTACATAACTATTTGATTACATATGAACCACTATATTAATTACATAAAATATAATAAATAATGTAATTTTGAGAGATCGCCAATTTATTAGTTTAAAAATATTAAATTTATTATAACATTTGATTATGCGATGTTAAGAAATTTTACTATAACATTAAAATAAATTAACTTATTTAAAAATACAACCGCTAAATAAGATAAAAAAATTATAATATTAATTTTAGAATAAATAACTTTAGCAAAAAGTTTACAACATTTTTTTATGTTTATGTAATTTTCATATATCATTTAGTGTAAACTATAGTTATTAGTTTTAATAACATCTATTATATGATATAATAAAATAATATAATTATTACTCCATTAATATAAAATGTAACGGTTTTTGTCTTAATTAATCATAAAAAAAGTGCAATGAAATATTTTAGCATTAATTAGATATGATGGATTAATAATAATAATAGAAGATTGTAACATAAAAAAATGGTAAACAATAATTAATATTGTTAAATTTATTGTTGGTAATTAAATATAGAGAGATGATAAAGTTTGTAACGAATTTTTGAGAGAAATCGAAATGATTTTTATTAAATGTTTTATTAAATACTATTAGCCAGCAATTATATATATATAGATTCATATCAATGGTAGATTTTGATGAAGTTATCCTCCATGCTACTCAGAAGTACGCATGCACTCAGAATACCGTGTCAGCCTCTCCAAATGATCAAATCTCACACAATTCATAGATTTCGATCAAAACACGTGTAGAGAGATTCTGCCAAATATATACAACAAAAGAACCATCCCAAGACAATTTTCAATTGCAGTAGCATAGCATATCTATCTGACCCTTGAAGCTTTTACGTCTTACTACGGCAAATAAACATACATAGCCAACAAAAACGGATCAGCCACAAAACATGTTCACCGGACAACACTTCCCCAAACTAACCAATTTCAAACCACCAATAATAACCTTCAACTAAAGCAAACAAAGCAACCACGTCAATTCCATGCATTATTGCTCTCTTCAGCCGAGCCCTCTTCATGATTAGGGTTCGGTTGAGCAGCTCGCATCATGGTCTCGTGAAAGCTAACTCTGGTGGTGCCACAGGCATTGAATCTCTCTGGACTACGGCTACGGGCCCGAACATTGTTCTCAGCCCAGCCCGAATTGCTATCATTCTTTGTGCAGCCCATCATGCTCTCATGGAAGCTCTTATAGCTACTGCCTCCATTTGAGTCATTTCCAAAGGACCCATATCCTTGTCTGAGAAAAGAAAAAGACAAAACGCGTGTTATTATAAGGGGGAGGGATTACTGGGAAGAGGAATAATTACAAACAGTGAAGCTAAAAGCTTATTACAAAAACAAACAGCTATATTTTAGAATTACATTTAGCCCTTAACCTAGAGTGTACTAGTATCTATTTATTTATACAAACTATATACCCGAGATATGAGGCATTTTTTTTTTTTTTCTTTTCTTTTTTCTTTGTTTCTTTTTCTGAACCATAGATAATATGGTGCCTTCTTTGAAATGAAATATGAAACATAGACTATGTTTGATAACCAAATAAGCTAGCTTATCGCTTATTTGGTTAGCTTATAAGCTTTTTCTACTCAAATAAGTTTCGTTTTCGTTTGGGAGGACGAGATTTTTTAAAAACTCGAGCTTTTCTCATAAGCTTCTTTGGGTAACCTTTCAAATAAGCTCGTTGAAATTTTTATTCCAACTATCTTATCAGCTAATTTTACCAAACACTATAAGCTATCTCAAAATTCACTTAAAAGTTATAAGCTAGCTTATCAGCTAAGTTTACTAGGCATACATAGCCGTAGTGTTCTAAAATATACACTACAAATTTTGCAATTGCGTACGGCTAGACTAAAGGGTGCGAACCGGAGAAAATATTAACCACCAAGATCTAAACTTGATTTTAAGTGGAAAAGTCATTACTATAAATTTTACAAATACCTCTGAGTATTGCACAAGTCAATAAAGATATTTAGGGCATTGTTTATGAAGTAATTTCCTCACATTTATTTCATACTCAAAATCTAACTCAACTTTAACTCAACCCCACTATCCTTAATATTATTTATATAATAAATATTATAAACCAATTATTCTTACATATCACATCAACTTTAATTCACTATTCATCTACTCAATAATTTTAACTACTTATCATTTCTAATCATTTCCAATCATTTATCTCCTACTTTTACATCAAATCAATAATAATCATTTTATTTTAAATATTATTTTAATCTATTATTAAAATCCCACTAGTAACTAATCATACCACCTTTTTCAAATTTAACTCTAGTTAATCAAAAATAACTCATTTTGAGAAAATTATTTCATAAACAAGCATGCCCTTATAATTCTGCGAGACGTCTTAAATTTTCTATTTAGTTAGACAAAAACAATGAAAACGACACTAACCTATCATTTCCCTCGGGTTTATAACCCCCGGACGACATACCCCAACCTCCTCCACCTCCTCCCCCATCCCTTCCACCGTAAGAAGAAGATTCATAACGTCCTCCGCCACCGCCGCCCCCACCTGGACCCCATCGACGCATTCCCCTTCCCATCCCACCACCACCACGTGAAGCCATATCACGAACCTCAGCAGGAACATTCTGTTCGGCTCCTTCTAGAAGCTTGATGAGTTCCGACACATGTCTTGCGTCTTGATCACCTAAAAATGTATATGCTACTCCTTTGGCCCCTGCCCGTCCAGTTCGTCCTATTCTGTGCACATAGTCCTCTACCCCAGTTGGGAAGTCGTAGTTTATCACCACCCTTCAACAACAAATTTACATTAGTTGACTTAAAAAAATAATAATAATAATAAAAAAAAAATAACGATACAGGGCAACACACAGCTGAAATTATCAAAAGCCATTTTCTGGTTAACTTCTTCGAGAATTACATGTAGCCAAGGGAAAAAAATATAAAAATTCAAGCACAGAGCAAAGCATAGGACCTAATATCCTTAATGTCCAGTCCACGAGCAGCAACATCAGTGGCTACAAGCACAGGGGACCTTCCAGTACGGAAGTCATTCAACACGTGATCCCTCTCACTCTGACATTTGTCGCCATGAATAGCAGCAGCTCCAAACTGCCGGTTTAAATTATCTGCAAGGATGTCACACATTTTCTTTGTAGAGCAGAAAATTATTATCTTCGATCCACGTTCCTGGGATCTCAGTATCTCTAACAGGCGACCCCGCTTATCCATTGGGGACATAACTTCAACATGCTGTGACATCAAAATCATGCTATTCAGTTAAATAAACTAGAGAGTTAGGAATGATCACAAAAACCGACCTTTGATGTTTAGCCTAGAGTTTGTTTGAGAAATACAAATTTTATTATGTAAAAATTGTACATTACTGAGAGAGTAATTTGTGCATGCATAGATAAATAAACCCAAGGGAAAATTTGTACCTAATACAAACTACAGCTTCTTGTAGCTAGGCTGAACCTAAAGAATAAAGACTAGTTTCCCTTAATCCACCACAAAACCTCCCACAGACCAAGAAGATAAATTTACCATGCACTTAAGAAGATAAAACTAGAACAAGAAAGATTCTAAGTTTTACCTGTGTTATTGCCTTGTTTGCAGCAAGCTCATCGACATTTCCAATATTAACCTGAACAGGGTTGGCCATGAAATCAGCAGCAATTCTTCGTACCTCTTTTGGCCATGTAGCAGTATACATCAGGGTTTGCCTACGAGATGGGACTTCTTTCACAATTTTCCTTATCTGAGGTTCAAAACCCATGTCCAGCATCCTGTCCGCTTCATCTAACACTAAATAAGACACTTGAAGGAGACTGACTCTCCTCATCTCCAAAATATCATTCAACCGACCAGGAGTAGCCACCACGATGTCCACACCTCTGTCTAGGTCTTTCAACTGAGGACCTTTAGGAGCACCTCCATACAAACACTTCATTGGACAATGATGGAAACAAGATCAGCAAGAAGCTCGGGGAATTGACTCATATAAACATTTGTCTTACAATGCAAACTGTGTTCAAGGCAGATATACACGCACACACAATTAGCAATCTAGCCAACTGGAAACAAACACAAGACATTATGTGATCCCAAAACACATACCACATAATATATAACCAGGAAAAAAAAAAACATTTGCAGGCATGAAGTATAAAGAAATAATACAAAACTAACATAGAAAGGTAAATGACTATTGCAAATGTAGTAAGCAGCTTCATTAGGCGGAAACAAAATTTGCAGAACACTATGAGGACAGTGAAACATACTGTACAAGATATCTTTGATGATTTTCCAAACTTCACAGCTTCATCTTGTATCTGTGTCGCCAATTCTCTTGTCGGTGAGAGCACCAATACAGTTGGACCCATTCTAGGATTATTACGCTTTTCTTTGAGATGCATAAATCCAGGAATCAAGTATCCCAAAGTCTTCCCAGATCCAGTCTTTGCAATGGCCACTATATCACGTCCTTGAAGAGCAACTGGCCATGATTGTGCCTGGATTGGGGTTGGTGCCGAAAAACCAGCAAGTTGTGCCTTTAATAGAAAATTAAAAGAATGAACTATCAGTTAGAAGTTTCGCCAAAACTTTCTACAATGAAAAGGAAAAAGAAAAAAAAAATCTGACCGCTTGGTTATAAACTTAAGCGAGTGGCTGAAAAGATAAGTATCATTATCTGAACATAGTATGCCTCTATTCTACAGACAAAGGGCATACCGAATCATACCAAGAGACATCCAGGTAAAGCTTGGATGATTCGGAAAGCCCTTCAAAGAAATTGGTCACCAATAATGGCGTATCAAATTATATGGTAACCATAAAGAAGGGCAGCACAGTGTACGACATTTGGCTCCTCCAGGAGCAAATATCGCACCTGCAACAAAAAGCATAGATTGAAAAGAAAATAGCACAAGTTCTTATCCACAGTGAACCTCCAGTTGTACCATATATCATTGTGTTTCTGTATACAGCACTCTAGAAATTCAAAAATATGAGATGCATTCATACCTCTCTTAAAATCTCAGGAGGAAAACCAGTTGCTCCAAATGAGGTGAAAGGTAAGGGCACCTTATCTCCCTAGACAATTGAGTAAAACCATCAACTTAAAAGTTATTAAGGAAAATATTCAACACAGGTCAGAACCACAACTGTATAAAAGTGATGTGATAATAACCATAGGAAGCAAAAAAATGATGGTGTATCCAAAAAATATACAGTAAGAAAGAAACTGAAATAACTGCACCAAATTAAACAGGCTTGAACAAAGTTTGAATCACTTAGGCTCAAATTTTGACCGCAGAATAAAATAACATCCGATCAATAGAACTCCACGTAAGTATAAATAATGTTGATAGATTATGTGCTACTTCTGGTAAGGAGATCACAAATATATTCTTAAAAAATCCATATTAAACAGGTAAAAGCTGCAGGTATAGATGTCAATATTGTTATATCAAACCATATGGTCTTTTATGTTCCTTAAAGATTACATCCACAGTTTGGCTTTTAAGTACCATAACAGATATGAGATACCCATCCTCAACTAAACATGTTACCAACATTAGACAAAGCCATATTGGAGGTCATTTCTCATAGGCTTGAATTGATCAATCCAGTTAAGGAAATAACTAATCCAGAAAAGACAACCATCCCTTCAAAAGTTGAAGCAAATTTGTAAGAATGTGTGTTTGAGCTTACAGTAACAGTAATTTCATGACGCCGACAATAAGCCTCAGTAGACAAACCAGATTCTGCAGCTACAGATGCAGATACTCTATTTGCAGCAGTAGTCGTCCGAACTGGCTCTTTGAGTGAATAATCTGACACTGTCTGACCAGTCTAATTTAAAATAGAAGAAAAAAAAAAGTATACCTAGTGAGTCTTTACTAGATTAACAAGTATACGAGCTTTTGCCAGCACAGAAAATTTAATGGAACAAGAATTCTAATTACATCAGAGCCCCCAATATAAATTTTTGCACCGACTTAACAAAAAAAAAAAAATGTTTAAATAAAATCAATGGTCACTCAAAAGACTAATTGTAGCCTATATGTGCTAGTAGGAAAAGGAGCAAAAATCAATATTTCTCCACTCAATATGAAAAAAATCGCAAGTACTATATAATATAACTTTCTATTATAGTGACAAACTAAGCATTAAACATTCATGAAAACGAATACAAGAACCACTTAAGGCACCTGATGCGTTCCAGGTTCTGAAGCAACATCTGTAGAGCAAGCATTGTTAGTTTTGTTATAGTTATCTTCATCATCCTTTCCAGAGTAATGTCCCTTGGTTTCTTCAGCTGGTAAACCCAATGATTCCTGAGGAGGTACAGAGCTTTCTTTGATCGAGGCAACAGGCCTCTCATACTGGGTCACATTTGTCTCCGGATTCCAGAAGTAAAGATATCCAGTCTTACTATCAACCAGTCCTTTCCATGGTTTTGGGAGGGTAGGATCCTCCGGCGCATACCTTACACTAGCAGCAGCCATGTCAGAGCGCACCACTTATATATCCTGTAGCATGAAAAACAATGATCGGGGTTAATATGAAGCTGTCTTCACATAGAATAACGCTTTACCCAAATTAAAAATTCCTACTTGATTGGTAAAACTAATTGCTATTAGAAACACGAGAAACAATAGTCTCAAACCAAAGGATAATAAAATTGAATGCAAGCAAAATCAATATATTCTAACAAATTACATTCTCACCAAGTACAATCAACTGCTTCCATGAGATAAAAGAACAACGAAAAAGTAATGGAATTCTAAAAACTTAGTTACTAACACAAGAGTTCATAATTCATAAATTGAGTAACACTAAAACATGCATGCATTAACAGAAACGATCGACAAATAATTCGTAATTCACATAGCTATTATAGGCAGCAAAGACTTCCAACTAAAGGTGATGCCCAAAAGGGAGAAAAATTTAGCTGCAAACACGTAGGAAATTCACAATCTTAGCAAGCATTTGAATAATANGCATCTTAAACCCTAAAAAAATAGTATAATAAATATGCCCACCAATGCTCGACTTATGACAAGCATTACATTAAGATCTGCAGTAGCCACAAATCCAAAACGAAAAATGTGACAATAATACCATTGTGTGGTGCAAGTAGCGACAAAGGTAACGTACGCTGTCGTTTTGAAGGTCGGAGAAGAAATGCTTCTCTCCGAGGAGCGCTCACACTCACAAGGTCTGCTCCTTCCCTCGAAAGGTGATCAGAATATTGTATAGCTGTGTATATATATGTTAGAGAGAGAAAGCGCTACGCTTCCAAGAAACCAGAAGCGAGAGCGAGTGAAGACAGAGACGACCGAGAGTGAGTGTATTCCAATTTCTAATAATCCGCGTGAAAATGAAAAGGTGACTCGTTTACGATTTGATTTTTAACCATGGTTAATGTTGGACTGCGGGTTAAATTGGGACGCATTAAGGCCCATGACCCCTGCTCTCCGGTGCAACTATTTTATTATTAGAAAACTAGTAATCACCCGTGCAATGTACGGGGATATTATTATTTATACGTTTTTTAAAAGACAATTTTGTATATAAATTGTGTAATAATGCAATGATCATGACCATAAGAATAGACATATAAATATATATTTAAATTGAAAAAATCATATATTATTGAACACTTCCTTAAATACAACAATATTGGTTTGATTATTTGGAACGTCATCTTCGCCACAAATTAAAATTTTTAAACATTTTCGGTTAGTGACACGGGAGATAGCAACATATAATTGGCCATGACTGAACACTGGTTTTTCTTAAGAAATAAGCCAACATGAGATAAGGATTGTCTCTGACTCTTGTTTATAGTCATGGCGTAAGAAACCATAATGGGAAACTGTTGTCGCTGGAACTTGAAAGGAATTCTAACATCAGAAGGAGTTATGGCAATTCTTGAAATCAACACCTTATCACCAGCATGATCTCCTGTGAGTATCTTACACTCAAGAACATGAGTGGATAGCTTTGTCACAACAATCGTGTCCCATTACACAAACTCATAGAATGATCCATGTTCTGCAACAACATGACTGGAGTTCTAATCTTCAAATACAACTCATGGTTCGGTATTCCGGAACACTTGATACTATTCAAAAACTCAGGCGTATGGAGATCAGACAAAAAATCATTATTAGAATCCGATTTGCACTTACTGTCAGAGCTCAAGTACATATGACCATCCAACAAATTCAATGATGTCATGTACTCATTGATAAACTCGACCACATCCAACGTCGAAGCTAATATAGCCCTATCCTCCAAATAACTTGGATCGTCGGGTGCTTCTTTATACATTGGATATGTGCTTTCAACGATCTGAGCAATAGGATCATCAGATGGCTGAAGCAAAATGTCTTCGGATATGTCTAAAGCTGCACATCCATCATTCGACCCCCCGATAGTTCCATCTCTGATGTTGGCTATCCAATCTGCAAACCATGCAAGCTCATCACGTTCATCCGAATTAGCAAGTCCCTGAAGGCGCATGTTTTTCGTAAGCCTAAGCACAGTACAACTTCTCCATATGTCAGAAGCATTAGTGGCAGCATTGACTATGTCCTGAGGGCTACCCTTTAGAATAACAGGAAGGATTTGTCGAAAATCTCCACCAAAAACAACCGGCTTCCTACCAAACGGTTTGCTCAAGTTCAAAGGATCAATTGCTCCCGTAATACCTGTAGCGATGTTTGTACAGCTTCGAAACAATGTTTGTGCATCATTGGTGCTTCATCCCATGTTATTAGAGAAGCACGGATTATCAATTCCGCTAGAGGGCTTGACTGATTGATGTTGCAAGTAGATTCCTGGTGGGGATTCAATGGTATAACAAATCGAGAATGCGTTGTTCGTCCACCTGGCAACAAAAGCGATGTTATTCCGTTGGATGCGACACATAAGACTATGTCTCCTGGATCTCAAACCAGCAGATAAAGTCCTCTACAGGTACGTCTTCCCAGTTCCACCATAACCATATACAAAAAACAGCCCTCCTTGGCCGGAATCAACAGCGAACATAATTCTTGAGTAGACACTCCTCTGTTCGGCTGTCATTTTCTTAAGAAGCATATCGTTTTCAATAGCGAGGGCCTTTCGATTATAATTCAATTCATCCAAAATTAGACGATTCGAACATGAATTGATGTTCTCCCTATCCAAAAATGGCATAGTTGAGTATTCACGAAGACTTGACCCACGTCGTCTCAATACATTCTCAATCTCAGCAAGGGCCAGGTTCTTGATTTGTTCTTCAGTGAGCATCAAACCTTTAAACCAATTATTTGTCACAACCAATCGATGCATTTAAATTTTGAAAAGTTGCACACAAATTTTCCTAAATAATTGGATAAGGTGACTTTAAATATCAAAGATGAACCGCTTTTGTTACCAAAAAATGTGGGCACAATTTTGAATGTACATCCCGTACATATATCAGTTTTATTTTAAAATAAAAATTGCACGTGGATGAAAGAAAAAATTATTCAATAAGATTGAAAGAATTGGTTAGAAATTATACAACTATTTTTTTCGTAAATTTGTATCCAATTTGCACGGTTTTTAAATTGATTTGTATTTAGAATTGTTTTCATAAATAATTGACACATTTTTTGCTTAAGAATCTCTAAATTTGTTACCAAAAAGGATATGATTTAAATTTTGGTGAAAAAATAAAATATGAGACGAAAACATGGGATTCAAATTTTGCCATAAAAATATCCAAATTTGTTATCGAAAAAATAGGATTCAGATTTTGTTTCTAAAGATTTACATGTGTTTTTTCGAACTTTCCATTAATAGTAAGTCAAACATTATATTTATTTAGTCAAACTTTCTATTAATGTATTTTTCCAACAACCTCTTTATATATATATATATATATATATATATATATATATAGATAAAAAGAGTGATTTCATATGAAAAAACAAAAGTACTTTTTTTTTCGGAACGATAAAAAATCTCATAAAACAATAAACAATTACATAATAGTCTTCCAACAGAAAGCCTGGATCATGAGAGCACCACTCGCAGGTGGCCTAGACGGCTAGACACCAAACAAGACAACCAAAACTAGCCTATCATGTAGCTAATGGAAATAAAGCAGAATACAGACACTGGCCCTTTACCCCATATGAACTACACAATAGCTAGCCAAATTAAAGCAAACTAGTATTAGATCCAGTGCATTAGCACAGACATAAAACACGTTTTTGTTTGTATTTATTCATTAGACATGTACTTCTATCATATAAAAATTATTACTTTTTCTTAAGTTATTTTTATCATTCAAAATTAATTGAGATTTAAATTGTATTAAACCGTGCCACGTTTACGTTAATAACATGAGTAAAATAATTTATATATTTGTGGCATATATTAAGAAAATTAACCTAAATATAAAAAATTATTGGTGTTTCTGATTTTTAGAAAAAAAAATGTGTCAATCATATTTTTCTTCCAACAATGCAACAAAATATAGCGGTTACAGCTCTTAATGTGCCAATCAACTTTAAGTTCCAACATTAGCCGTTGCACATTTGAATATTTTGCTACCAAATTTAGAATTAATTTAGTAACTGGTCCAAAAAATAAATAATAAAAATATATATTAAGGTATAACGGTTTTAGCAAATTAGTGAGTAATTAATTTAAAAAAATGTAACTCCTTTTGGAGGGAAATGAAAATCGGTTTTATTAAATACATCAGTCAGTAATTATAGATATATAGATATAGATAACCCACAATCCTAGCTGGTCTGAAAGAAAATGACATAAAAGAAAGAAAATGACATAAGTACTTCAATTGTGTAAAATATAAATAACAATATTTTTTATACCGTAACAGCTTGCTTGTTTATAAAAACACCAACAAAAAAATTCAATATCAACTCTAATTTAACTCAATATCACTATCTTTAAAATTATGAATATAATTAAATAATATCAATCAGTCATTCCTACACATCATATCAACTTTAATTCACTATTCATCCACTCAAATAATATTAGTTACCTATCACTTTTAATCATTTTATCTACTTTTACATCAAATCAATTTTAATCATTTTATTTTAAATATTATTCTAATACAAACATAAAATCTCACTCAAACTTAACCCAACAAACTTTTACAAAATTAACTATGGTTAACCAAAAAAACCAACCAAAACCAAAAAAATCTATGAGCAATCAAGCCCTAAGTGAATTTAGCATGAAATTTTATAATAGATACTGACGTAGCGAAAGCTTACGAAAGAGTAAACAATAGATAAAATCTCAAGACACTATTTTTAATTCATAAACTTGACCAATTCTCCATAATGTAGAAGAAGTTAATAAATAGAATATCACAAAGCCCTAATGTTTATTATCTCTCAGTTGTTAATAATCATTATTCTTGGTTAAAGTTGAACAGAGGAGATCCTATTATCACTCATATTCTGTTTGCTGACGATTCTTTACTCTTTGGCAAAGCAGCTCCTGATCAAGCTCTGAAACTTCTTCATATTCTGGAGAGATATAGGCTTTTCATAGGATAGAAGGTAAATTGGGACAAATCTGCTATTTTCTTCAGTAGGATTACACCAGTGAACATTCAGATGGAGATCAGTGGAATTTTTCGAGGGATTAACAAGCATACCTCTACTAGGTATTTGGGCCTTCCTCTAGGCATTGGTAGATCCAAGATTGACACCATTTCTTTTATCCTAGACAAGGTGAGATCAAGACTAATGAGTTGGAGAAACAAATGGCTATCTTTTGTTGGCAAGGAAGTCATGATAAAGGCAGTCATAACTGCACTCCCTATGTATGCTATGGTATACTTTAAGATACATGTCTCTATCTGCAAGGACACTGCCAGATTATGAGCTGCATTTTGGTGGAGAACAGGTGAAGATGAACAAAAAAGCATTCATTGGAAGAAGTGGAGTTATCTGACACTGCCTAAATGCAATGGAGGTTTAGGCTTTCAGGATATCCAGCTGTTTAATGAGGCATTGATATGCAAACAACTGTGGAGAGTCACTACACAACCGGATTTGTTGGTTAGTAAAGTCTTAAAGAGTAAGTATTTTCCGCAGTCATCAATTTTAGAAGCAGACAGAATGCAAAGTGCATCATGGCTGGAGAAGCTGGCAAACAGTTATCCCTACTTTTACTAATGGACTGCAAGTGGAAATCAGGAATGACAAGCACACTAAGATTGAGGATGTCAATTGGATCCCAACCCTTGCAAAACAAAGGCCACATCTACTGGAGATTGCTAAGGGTCATTTTGATTTGGGTGAGAGACCTGATGAGTGAAGATGGTACTTGCCGGAACCAGTGGCTTATGAAACAGGTGTTTGGGGGA